CCTCCTATCTCCCGCTGGCCCTACCACAGATCCCGCCGGGTCGCCATGGCCCTAATAATAACTAGCATCCCCCCCTCGAGGCCCGAGCCCGCCGTCCCGAAGATAGCGGGACAGACATGCTATTTCGCCCTTTCATCTGAAGTTGCAACCTCAGGGTCTTATCTCAGCGTCATGATTCCTAGGGGTTGGGTGTGAACGGCCCTGGCACGCAGCGACTGGGACAGAAACTTCGTCCTTTTCCGGACATAACCTTCTTCGCTTGTGGCAGTTCCGTCAGCCGGCTGAGACCGAGTCTCAAATGTTTAATTACACAAGGCCGCAAGGCTGGCTTGATGTTTACATCTTCTTAGCTCACTAGCAGTTTTCGGTACCGACTTGATGGCTCACGTCTTCAAAGAATGCGCATCGCCTTTTATCTCGTACTTCGAAGATACACAAAAGACACGTCCTCCTTTCAGTGGAATTCCTCAACATCACGGGTTAAATTTCCATCCGCATAGCTCACAACGCCGTCGGAGGCCAAAAATAGAGCTCCTAGCTTCAACGTCCATTGCCCGCAGCGCTTGCATCTAGAACATAGACGCATCTGCACTTTGCCTTATCGCCTGTTCCTCATTCATGATTACAGAGGACCACTGGGACATCGCCTTGTTGAGAAAATGCCACAGCCCTAACGTGATGATCATCCCACGGAATTCGGACAGCAGAATAGGGAAAACCAGATGTTCCGAGCCCCCACGCGACGCCTTTCCCCTGCAGGCCGCAGCGAGCAGGCAAGCAGAAACCAGATTCCACGAGCCGGAAGCCCGGCTCACGCCTGCCGCCCACAACACCCGCTGTGCCGCTGCGACAAGATCGCGCGCATCCTTTCAGCTGCCTTCGCTCTCGGGAAATGTGGATCATGTTCCAGTTCTAGACCCGATATCGACAGGAACATCTGCATGTGCCGCGTCCAGGTTCCTGTCAACAAAGAGAAAGGAAGAGAATATCCCGAGCAAGAAGATACGTCAAACGGGGCATTGGCTTGCATTGGTCTCTTCGATAGTTTCTCATCGGCCGTCACAGAAGTCCATCCTTCAGCTCGTTCTCGCGTCCCCAACCTGGCCCGTTGTTGGATGTTCGAACGCAGGGCGGAGCCGCAAGAGCCCCAGTGTGTGTCCCTCACCAACCAGGCCCTGTTTACATCTCCACATCGAATCGAGCAACAAGACGCGTGTTGAGGGGAACCTGTCCGCTCACCACTCACAAAGCCGAACAGTCCAGCCCACCCAGCGCCGATCGAGTCTAGACCATTGTGAATCTTTTTGCTTCCCAAACGGCATTCTCAGGCACGCATGCTTCTTGCGTCATGTATCCAGGCCTCGAATGTTCCTGATCAACTTCGATCGGCCCCCTTTTTTTCGCCACGGGGAGAGGCTGAACCCGATTGAGATGAAAATGGAGATGCTGCCTTGCCGGTGGGGTTCAAGAAGGGTTCCGTGGTTTACGCCTCGCACACTACGTGGTGAACAAGAAGCCCTACATACAACCCTCTGCCTCCCACATTGCCGTCAAAATCGTCCGAACTGGTGTTCAATTGATGATTGATGTGGATTAGCTGGGGATTGCCCCCTTCGGTGCGTGCTTCTGAAAACGGACGTGGAAAGGGGCGACCTTTGAGCCGTGAGTGGGATCCGTGGCCGCGCGTTCCTGGCTAAGGGGTCACTTCGTACCGCTGGCCGCGTGCGTTTGGCAGCGGTGCCCAGTAAAAGGATTTTTTAAGCTCGGTGGTACTCGACGCTCTGCCTGCGTCCCTTCAGCTGCCTCTCGACACTCTGGAGCTACTTGGGAACGGCACTAAGGGGGCATTTTAGAGTTTTTCCCCTTCTCGGCTGCTCTATTTCGTGGACTAGTGGGTGACTAGTCGGCGTTTTCGTTCGTAACGGCGTGACGTTCTGGAGAACCTATTAAGGATTGGGGGCTGAGAGGCCATGGAAAATGCCGCGTTCGGATCAACGTGATGGATTCTTAGCCGCGTGGGAGGCCGGAGGCCGGTGATCCGCATATGAATTGCTGGCTTGATTGCTGTGCTCAGACGATGAGTGCTGGGTAACGGCAAAGGTGGTGATTGGTTGAGGAATTATTGAAGCAACGTCTGTTGGTTTGATGCTGGTGCTCGAGCAAGGCTGTGGGATCTTCACGATGGACCGAGTTGTTCGCCGTGACTTGACTTGACTTGATATTCTTTGTACCACTCCATGGCTAACACTAAATATTGCTACTATCTCATGATGCCTGTGCATGATATGCGCGACACGAAGAAGGCTTTTCGTCTGTTGAAAATCTCGAGCACAACCTGGTTTCAGCATTCGGACTCAGTGACCATTCAGACTACCTCAACCTTAGATCAAGAGGGTCCTCAATAATTCAACCATGACACGGATACATGTGGGCAAGAAACCAGAATCCAAATGACCGATAAGTCTTTGAAGGGTAGAAAAGGAAATCGTTTGTTAGGTCATTTGCTGAGGTCATTCTATTTGGGAGATGTACTTCGTTCACTTGTCCAGAGGAGGTAAACCAAGTTATCTTCTGCAATATGTCCTCCTTTCTGTTGTGTATCACAATTTTCCCCAGTGTTTTAGTTACTTCAGATGAATCTAACGTCGCAAGCGTAATAAGTTCCTTGCTTGTGTTTAGCATTTGACATGAGATAATTATTGGAAGAAATAACAATCATCGATATTACAAAAGTACTAAGTCGGTACAGTTGAGTTATTCTAGGGTTATCCCATTTATTCGATCATCATCGATACCTTGAAAGATTTCAATGACTTAGTATCAAGCTCAAGATTTGATTTCTTCTCAAATTTAATCTCCTGCCTGGTTTCAGTTGTCATGAATGGCCTTGTGTTGCAGAAGAGCGGTGAGAGATTTTAACGGAAACACTTTGATTGTACATACTGTATGCTAAGGTAAAGATGGATCCCTGATCATGCATGAAGCCGACTCTGGACAAGGCGGGATCCTGTGTTGGGTTCTAGTCACGCAACACACGGGGTGACAGGAATCGTCTGGTGAGCACGAAAACGTTACGCCAGTTGCCACAATGATACACAACGACGGGTAAGAAGTCTTTCGTCTACGAGAAGTAAGAGCTGAAAGGGCCTTATAATGTGCTCGCATAAGATGTTTAGCTTTTTAGGATTTTGTTATCAATATGTCAATGTAGAATTGGAATGGCTGCTGTCTTTTGTAATTGAGAATATTTCTGGACACGCAGTATAATGTATTTGAAAGTTTTCTATTGTCAATACTATAAGATTATTGATTCGTAAAGTCACTATCGTCTTCTCTAGCGTGAATTACATCACTGACAATGGATCTGAGAACGATTATCTTTTCTTTTACCTCCGCGTTGTCATGATCACGTTAGACCTGGTCGAATGATAGCCGTGCTACGGCGAATCACAGTCTTTCTGAAAACTTCTTATCTTGTATAAATGCGATGAGCTATCAACTTGTATTGTTTTCGATGTTCTGCTGCAGTTGCAATTGCAATTTGCCCTCGAGACCTCCGGACAATTTGGAATTGGACCCTCTATGCACGCGCGGTATCGTACGGCCATTTCCCTCATCGGGGTGGCAGTTCACAGGGTCTAGTATCTAGTATCTAGAAGTCCCTCTATATATAACTTCAATAATGTAATCTTCAGTGTTCATGGTATGCTTGTACATCGAGCTTACCAAGATGCCTTGGTCGTCTGGCGCGAATGACCTTGGTTGAAACGGCAGCGTCAAGCGGTATTGGATATTGCGTAAATTCATTGACTGAGACCTTCATGTGCTTCCTTTTCTTTTCATTGCCTCCTTTTCTGCTTTTGCAACAGCATCCGATGCATAGAACTCGGCGTCCTTGGAAACAGCCGAACCATCCACTTCGTTGTTGTCTTCTTTAGGAGGCGGAAATCCTGGTCTGTTTTTGGCGACTTTCGCGAGCAAATCCGACGCGTAGAATGAATCTCCAGCAGAGTCTTCTGGTTCTCCGATCAGAGACCCCCCCAATCGAACTTGGTCTTTTTCCTGGTTCAGAGACCTCACGTCTCGTCGACCCGGGATCGCACCATCCTGGACCTAAAGTAAGCTTTGAGAGAAAATGGCAGCAGCTTCTGACATTGCATGATGTAGAACAGAGCGACTCACTTCCGGAATTTCTCTGCTGCCTTTGAAGAATGAGAGAGCCAGGACACAGGCAAGGGCAAATATTAAGATCGTGCAGCCCCGTGAGCGACGCGCGCGGGACACAGGGTAACTTGACCCTGATGACTGCGCGCGACCGTTCTCTTTCATCGTCGATGCTTTCGATAGAATCAATTGTTGATCGTTGAGGAGAGATAGGGAAAAGATATGCTGCGCCGCAACATTGGGCTGCGCCCGCTTAAGACATAGATGTCGCTGGCAGTGTCGAGAAGACCTTAGAGCAGGGCGCACGTAGATCTGGGTCTTGCTCCGAGAAGATTCAACGAAAGAAGAAAGCTGCGCGAGGAACCCTGTTATGAGGGGTTGGTGGTTGCCGCCCGTTGCTCAGGTTCTGGCTTTGGATAGGCGCCAAGCTCGGCTCTCACAGGATATTGTCCCAACCTGCTACCAACAACAAATTGCGGTCGCGTGCCCATAGGCTGTTGAAGATGGCGCTATGCCGAGTTCTTCTTGAAGCGGAGTCTCTTTGTCTCTTTCTGGACTTTCAGACCAGGGCCCTTGCCTCGTCACTTGAGAACCAACAGCGGTTTTCCAATGGGCCCCGGAAGAGTTGACCTGGTTGCCGTGAAGACAAAAGTGTGTTGGAACTGTTAACGCCTGCATTAAGATGAGCGACCTTCCCGGCCAGTTGATGGTGTGGTATTGCAGGACGCCATGTCTCTCCCGCTCATTTTGCATGCATCCTGAAGCCGCGATATTCTTTCTTAACACATTTTCTCTGCTCTCTTCTCTCCCCCAAAGCCCATGATCCCGGATTCGTGATGGCCACAACACCCACCGTGGTCACGGCCAACGATCGGCCGACTATGTACTCCCCGCTGCCGACCCCCTGGCCGATGAACTCCGATTGTGCTTCAAGAACGTATCGCCAATCTGACGAAGGCCCAATTCTCGCATGGGATCCGTACTTTGGAATGAACATAGACTCCGGAGCAGCGACGTGTTTTCCAGAGGCGGTGACTTCCTGGTGGTTTCAGACCGTGAGCCAGGCGACATCCATTGCCTTGGGTCCGACGTTCGAGTGCCCCCAACTGTATACGGCTGCACAAACACTACTGGAAGCAGGAGGGGTACAGCACGTTTTCTGCTGTCCGTCGTACGTGCACAACTACCGATTCTCTTGAGAGAAATGCGGCTGATGTCCCGAGGCAGAGATTATTCGTTCAACGTGCCGCAACCGAATAGACCCGTTTTCCCGTCTCAGTGTCTGTCGATGGCTACACCTGGACAAAGGATTACGTACGAATCCCTTACAATAGGAACAAACGGCGCGATCGCCAAAAGGACTACAAGTGTAGTCAGTTCGGCTGAAGTCACTATCTGGGCAGTACCAGTCAACGGATACAACTTCCCAGCGAGTTCGACGAGCGTAAGCAATACAGGCGCGACTGTATCCCCAACTGCGACGGCAACTTCAGAGATACCAGGTTCTACGACCACAGAACAAGTAAGAGGAGCAACAGGGGGAAGTAATCAATCATCCGGACGGCCTCTTTCCACGACGGTAGGGGCCTCAGTTGGTGCTGTGGTTGCTGTGCTTGTTCTTGTTGGTGGCGTATTCATGTGGTGGAGGCGGCGAGGGAGATCGAGGACTGTCAACGAGTTAGAAGGACAGCCGTATGTGGAACCTCCATCATCCTACGGTCGGAAATTCGAGCTACCAGCGGAAGTGATTCCGGAACACAAGCATGAGCTATCCAGCGACGGTATTAACATACAGAGAACTATCCACGAGATGCCGGCGAACCGTGAGAAAGGTTAAACAATAACAACCTATTAGCCAGAAACCATATTTGAGTGTTTAATGCCCAAAGAATTAATCAGAAAGTTTTCTTGAGTAGCCTGATCAGAAGTCAAGTGATCAAAACTGCGTTTCCGAGCGTCCTAATAGGCCGATTCGTGGCGGAAAAAGATCTCGGCTCATTTTGTGCATTAGGCGAGAAGGGCCCTTTTAACCAAGTGCAAAAATAAAAACTTCGATGCGTACATCAGATTGCCAAACAATCAAAGAGAGCATACATGTATTTAGGCACAGAAATAAGCTTAATTAGACGATTGGCATGACCAGGTAGCACTTACCCACTTGGCGAGAAAGTCATTCTTGCAGTACTATAATTTGAGGTAATGAACATGGCAACCGCCGTCAGTTCATTCTGCGGCCCCAAATAGCGAGATATGCTCGTCGTCTATTAACCACTAGGCCAGGTAGCTTGTCATTTGTCCGGGTATCCCAACTTTGAGATGACGCAAAAAAGTTTGAGCCCACAATTCTTCCTAAATGTCACCTAACGGATGAAGCCGTTAGGGAGCTTGACGACTGCAGTATCCAACAGCTGCTTTCGTCGACACCGAGGAAGCTCAAGTGGCTGGAAATTAGCGCCGGGACAGGAGCTATGTCTCGGACGTTTTGTACCAGTGGGAGAATGTCTCGGCTGTCACCACCTTAGAGCCAATTCCACAACCACTGAACACTGATTACGTGGACAGAGGATGACGAATCCTTCCCAGACGAAAACGTCAAATCAAAACAAACCTCGAGATGCGTGATACTGGCTGACGAGATGAGTCTGCTGCTGCGAAAAGATGCCAGGAGCCTGTATCAACCTTGGGATGGAATGTCCCGTCAATCGCGATATCTTGGTCTGGTCTGAAATATCCTCAGACTGGCCTGCAAACCCCACAACGTTCAAATCGCTCGTGGGTCGCACTGAGCAAGGGGTGAGGCTGCCGGTCAAAATAGTGCTTGGGCAGTCCCTTGGCATTTCTACGTCATCGGACTGCACGTTGGAACTTTTGGTGCTCAAAATGTTGGTGAAAGATATGGGTGCTGTTTCGGTGCTTTCTGACGGCGCAAAGCCAATTGCGTGTTGTCTCCACCGCGCGAAATGCCGGTATGACTCGTTGACGGAAACGGCCAGGCCCAAGGTCCAGAGCCACGAAGCCTTGATAGGAACATTCCGGAGAATCGCACTACTCTTTGGCATTCAAGCGTGGTAATGCTGATCCGTGTGTCAGTTTCTCTAGCTCGACTATATGGAAGCGCCGAGCGCCTGAAACTCAAATGTGTTCGTTCAATAGTTGTCTCATTCAGCCGCTGGCGTCGAGCAGGCACATAAGCCTCCCACGTTCCTGGAACGTTTATCTTCAGCACACACCTTTACTTCTGCTGCCAAGTGATTTGTCTGTTCTCCTTGTTTTCTTTGACGCATTTTTTCTTGCGATACCTCTACAATGCCCCTTCTCAAAGCTCAATGGGTGCCTCTGAAGATCGCGATATTTGTTGCGGTGTCACTCATCGTATCCGCATGGTGGATTTTGCCACACCGGGCATGGATAGTGAGTATCTCAAGAGCAAGCAATATCACGCACCGTTTAGATCGGCAGTTAACAAAGAACCTTTCCAGCCCTTGGCAGCTGAGCCTGCACAATATGGAGTTTCAGATCCGGTACTTTCAGCGCCAATTGATATAATTGCGGAAGACACACCGTTGTCAGACGACGATCAAGAGCCAATATTTTCAAGCCCAGTCGATGTAGACTTAGAAAACACATCACTTCCAGAAGACGACATTGAGCCCGAAATCTCAGCATCAGTCAATACGACCGGAGGGGATAGACCGCTTATTGTGTACGCCTATTCTGAGTCTGACAATGCCCGAGCAAACCTGAGGTTCTTCATTACAAAGGGGCTTCACAATGCGGCCGACTTCGTGTTCATATTCAACGGAGATTCAGGGGCGGCGAGAATGGTTCCTCGCAAGCCTAACGTCACGGTTGTGAAGCGGGACAACACATGCTTCGACTTGGGTGCCATTGGAGAAGTCCTTCGAAAGAATAATCTGTGGAAGAGGTACAAGCGCTTTATCACGATGAATGCAAGCATTAGGGGCCCTTTCTTGCCCTGGTGGAGCAAATCATGCTGGACAGACTTATATCTTAGCAAAATCACAGAGACAACGAAGGTAAGCACTTATGATGCTCATTCTCTTTCCTAGCCACAACTTACTAAAAGGGCGATGCTACTAGCTGGTTGGTATGACGGTGAATTGTCAACCCAGAATGCATGTCCAGTCCATGATCCTCGCAACAGATGATGTGGGCATGGGTATTCTACTCGACCCTGCCTTCGCGCTTTCTGCATCACAAGATGATGAGTTCGGTTCAAAAGACAACCCGGTTGGGCTTAGCGGGTGTTATGGAGACTGGAACGCCGCTGTACATGCTGAAATCGGGACGACAGGTCTTATTATGAAATCTGGCTACAAAGTCGATGCAATGATGACAGCTGCACATACAGTCATTGGTGGAGTCGAGGCGTACTGTGAAGCTACACAAGCTGGAGATGTTCTATTTGACAAGGAGTACTTTGGAATGAATGTCCATCCCTACGAGACAGTTTTCATCAAGGCGAACCGAGATGTCGACCCATGGGTGTTGGATTCTATGACGGAATGGCATTTGAAAATGAATACCCGCAGTTCCGATGGTTGCGGGATATGAGTATATTCGAAGGATGCACCGGATCGGAAGAAACATTGTCAAATAGGATAAGGACGGTGCACCTGACCATCATGTAGACTGGAAAGTATTGGATTATCGAGCGTTACTAAGCCAATCTGTATTTCTCGCCAAAACATACAATTGTTTGAGTCCCTTGACCTGACCAAATATATCTCGCTGCCAAAAATTGTCAAAATGTATAGTTCCGAATGAAGTGGCTCACTTAAATGGATCTGAAAATTATAGGGGAATTTCCTCCTTACGTCTCTTCATAAAGATCCTGAAAGTCGGGTCAACCTCCTCTGCGAAACCAAATTTCCGGATGTTGTGCTCGGTCCCGTCTTCTAGGCGCATGTCGTACTTCAGAAGAAGATGAGAAATAATGACTTTGGCCTCGCTGGCGGCGAAGAAACGACCAGGGCATCCATGTTCGCCATGCCCGAACCCAAGATGGTTCACACTTGTGGTCACCAGCTGACTCGCTGCTCCTTGCTCAGTAGCGCGCATGCGGAAAAAGCGGTAGCCGTCGAAAACATCCGGGTTCTCGTAGACACTCGGATCTCGCATTCGATCGGTCGAAACAGCGACTTTGTGGCCCTTTGGGACCTTGGTGCCGTCGGAGAGAGTAATGTTGACCAATGCTTGCCGGAACATGGAAGCTAGAATAGTGGTCAGTTGGTGTCAAGCTGACCTGGTCTTGAGCGGAGGACTTACCGATCTGATTCGGCTTCAGGCGTTGGCTTTCGTTGAGGACACTGTCAAGGAGCTTCATGTTGTACAACGAAGTCTTCTTCCAGCCGCCTTCGGAAATAGCAGCCACGATCTCCTCTCGCAAGGGCTGTATCAGCTCAGGGTGACGAAGGATATCAATCAAGGTCTGCGTGATGAGATCAGAGGTAGTTCCAATCGACACCACAGCAAGCATCAACTGCGATGCACCAAAGTTGTATCGATCTCCACCTGCCAACTCCTCGAACCAGTGAATGGCATCTTCGTACTCCGCTTCGCCGCCCTTGGCGTGTCGCGCCTGGATCTCAGCAGCGACAAGATCCCATGCTTCCTTGACTTGAGCTTGCAGGTTCTTGCACTCAGGGATGAATTTCACAGCTAAGGGCTTCAGAATCGTGGGCCAAAGTCGAAGTTTCCGCATCCCCTGAATGCTGTTGTCTCCGTAATTGACGATCAAATCCAACCATCGCTCGTTGTTGCTAAGATTCGGACCCGCGAATATGCGACCAGACATTTTGGAAATGAGGCGAATGATGAGATTTCCAAGAGCGACAGGCTGCCATTCTAGGGAAAAGTGTTAGCATGTTTGCTTAGTTGGAGGCGCTTTGGTAATGCCTATAGAATACCTTCGCTATCGCCAAGAGATGTGTGAAGTGTCGAAGCACATTCTTCGGAAAGGGGCTGCGTGATCTTGGCTAAAGACAACCCTAATATTAGCGATATTTCTATCAAAGATTTGTGATAGGCTGCTGACCTAGAGACTTTGTCATCTTGAATTTGACCACGTTCTGGAGTGGTTTCGTTGGCAAAGCCCCCTCCATGAAGGGTTCAAAGCCGGCGTAATGGGCTTGAAATAACTACGCCACGTGTGAAGTCAGAACATGTTGAAGTTCTCCCGTCCAAAATGCACCAAGTCCCTTGAAGCAAAACGCACCTCAATGATGGGCTCATCAATGCCGAACCTGGGATCATTGCGAATTTCTTCGCCATGCTCGGGGCGCAGAATGATAAAGGTTCCCATATCAGTGTGAACGCGGAAAGGCACGGGTCCAAATTTCGCTCGAGCTGATGCAAGAAGCTCCCGCCCAGCTATGGCAAATTCGAAGACCGAACGAGAAGCCGTGAGTTCATAGAACTTCTTGGGATTGATGGTCGGAAGCTTGCTTGCGCCATTGAAAAGAAAGAAGGAAGGAATTGTCACAATAAGAGTGATGGCTAAGAGGGCAGCCAATAATGACGTGTTGTCGACATCATAGATCGATGGCTGACCCCAAATGGTAGAGGTATTATGCAGGTGGTCCATCGCTTGTATGTTGCTTGTTTTGCAGTAGATCGAAGTTGCGAGTTTGGAGCCATGATATCATGAGGAACTGTTTGGGTTTAAATCAGAAACTGACAAAGACAGAAACTCATAAACTCGTCTGTCTCTCTGAACTGCCGTAGTTCCAGAAACACTATGCTCAAGGTTGTGAGGCGGACATTCGCACTCTGCCAAGAATGGACTGACGGAGACGGACTTTCAGAAGAGATCGTAGCGTATTTATCCATACAGTGTATATGCAAGCGATTGGCTGGCGTCGTCAATGACTTAGAATCAAGTCATCTAAGGACCAATCATGGTGCCAGGGTTTCTAACAACATGACATAGGGGGGAGACACGATACTCCACAAACCGGTGGGATAGCGTCCGACGAGAAGTAGCCGGCCTTCACCAGAGTCCGTCCCACGACAGCCAAGTGCTTTATGTCCGAGAGAAAGTATTCTAGGCAGTGTATTGAAGCAAAGTTGAGAAGTCTTTAGTTCATCTCTGCACTGGTTATTGCCAACAATCGGCCTCATCACGGACCCGACCTGATGATGTCGGCAGACCTTGATATCTAGAAAAGCATCTACCCACTCTATTCCTTCCATTTTTCAATCACAAATTGAGCTAGGTCCACCGAAAGTTTAAAAAGGAGAAGACCAAGGCCCTGGTGTCTCTGATGAGACGTCGCGAGCGATGCTAGCGACTAGCGCAGACCACCAGCAATGATCTCAAGAGGTGACACTGGATCGAGGTGATGACAGTCGTATTGGGTAATCTCAAAAACAGACTCATGAAGAACTTTGTAATGACTGAAATGATTGAGTAGCCACACTGAAACAACACTGGCAGTCATGTTCGCCATGATTGATTTCCTTGTGCTCATCAACGAAGGCAGCAGGAGAGCTTTAAAGAACAGACCAGCCCAGTCAAGGCGCCTTATTCGCACCTAGAGAAAAGGAATGAAATTTCGACTCTGAATATTTTGAAGTTGAAGGATAAAACCATACCTTTCTTAGCCCCAGGACCTCCACGGCACCCGGTGATCTTGTTGCATCCACGGCTCGGATTAGGGTTCGGACCAGAACCACCGCATCCCGGTCTGCAGTTTTCGTAACTAGCACCACGTCGGCTACAAGGCGTACTGCCCTTCTTGAGGGCAGGATTCCCGATGTTCTTGTTCTGCGGGGACGCAAGGGGAACGGCGGTGATCATCAGGGCCGAGGTGGCGATGATGGTAAAGACGGCGAACTTCATGCTGAAATGGTTCCGCAGACGAGGATATAAAGCAGGTTGAAGTGACGTGAAAAAAGAGATATCTAGCTTGGTCGATGTATTGAATACTGTGAAGTCAAATAATTCATCCTCTGAAATTGGCGCGGCAGCCGTCCTTCTTATAGGCGACAAAGACACAAGAGAAACATCTGTTCAGCTACTTCAATCTGCAATTCTCGAAGAGCATGCTCTTCCGAGTCGAGTACCATTACCTAGAGGTATATTGACTCGTTGAAAGACCGCGAAATTGCGAAGGTCTCGGGTCTCGTTGCTTGCAAGTTGCCCCAATATTTTAAAACGGTGACGCGAATAACAAACGCGTCACTTCAGAAGAACCGACAGGCACAGAGTGGAAAAGAAGAAGTCCGGTCATTCATACGAGCGTCTCGGAGACCTGATGCACCAATGGTATAGAAGATAGCCCTGTAGGGCTCACATGATGACCTGCTTACTTTGCGGCGTGTCAGAAGCATCCCGTTTGGCCAAGGCTGTGGTGTATAGTAATAGCTGTCGACTTTTGAAGGCAACTAACACATCGTAAACGGAGAAGAGAGTTTGAACTTTGTTAATCAGTGACCACATACAGAACAATGCCCAGAATAATTCCGGATGTGAAGACCTGGCGGAGTTCCATGGCCATCTCAGAAGATGTGATGCGCAACATACCATTGTGGACGGACCCTTCCGATTGACATCTCAACTCTTCATTATGAGAAGCAGTATCAGTATATAAAGAGTCAATACAGCAGAGGTCGGCTTTCAAGTTCGTCTTCAAGCACCGTCTGCGTACACGATTTTTGTTAGTTTTGATGTACAACACCATGTCTTACGACGCACAAGATGGAGTTCCATCGCCTTGGATGTAAGTTCATCAGAAAACAAGGCTAGGTTGAGTCGACGAATGTTTGTGAATTTATCGGAAGGACTTTCTCGGCTCTCTAGATAGGTATGTGTATGTGTTTCTCGACCTTGCAGGGCGTTCTCCGAGAGGCTCGTGCGACGTCCTAGCATACGAGCATCGCGGACTAGTAAGTTTCCCGGGATTCTCATCTGGCATTTCGTCCCGAACTTTGATCTCGTTTCGTTCTTGGTGTTCATCCAAGCTTCTCATCGTGTTGCCGGTAGCCGGCCTGAGAAAATAAGCTTCCTCGATCGTACGATGAAGTACCAGAATATTGAGACCGACTCGGAATGAATCTAATTGACAGGCGCTTATCGAGAGGTATAATGCATTCTATGCGGTTCATGAATTACTTTAAACGCTTATAAGTCGATTGCTTGGTTTATCATGTTAGATTGGATGCGTGGAAAAGTCTGCGACACAGGTTCGGCCATGCTTCCGCTACTGGCGACTGAGGCTCGCCCTACTTTTAACGGGCATTATATCTCGGGATGGATACAAAAGATCTAAGCTTGTAGATGCAGCCAAGGGTGAAAACCCGATGAAGGACCCCTTTATGTAAAGCTTCCGACATAGACGCTCCATCCTAAGTTCGGACCGCCGGGAGCGTTTGGACTCATGGAATGTCCTGGCATGGCCGTTTCGAACCCCTTTCAAGGAGATCCGTAGAGCTTTGTTGTCCAATCACATTTCAGTAAAGTATCTCTTTCAAGGGTCTTTATCGTCCGGTGACCATCTGAAGGGAGGTCGGCGACCTTCTAGAAGTCTGTCATAACTTTATTGGGGAGAAAGGTAGCTTCAAACGGCTGCATATTGCCCCACTGGGCTTCTAGAACACCATTAAAACCATCAGAACCCCACTCACAAGGGGACCCGATCACTCTCGGACATCAAACAACATCGCCCGGGCGGGCACATTCGTAGTACCACGACTCAGCCTGGCAGCTAACGAAGCCAAATACTTTGAGCGCCGTTGATCCGATACACACATCACATGCTTGTCGATGACCACACCGTATCGAGACTCCAACAAACAGGAGGTACTACTGGACTCATTTTCAAGTGAGACGAGATGCTACTCTCAGAGAAATGGTTTAGTGAGTGAGGGCAAGTTAGGTGGGGATGACTGGGTTGATGTTGTAAGTATGGATACCGATATCATAGTGATTAGATGTGGTTTAGATATTTGCTAGACCTCAGATACCCCAGTACGTTGTTGCTCTCCCCAATGAAGGCTCAGGATGGTTGTGTGGGTTTTCCTGGTTCCATCCGCCCTTTGGTTGTCTGCTCTATTACCAATTCTTGACTTCCATGCTCTGCCCAGTTGTCCATTTCATGATCTGTTGTGTGACTTGATAATGGATGCATGTCCTCCATCACTTGCCGTTCAGAGGTTCTCGTACCAAACGCACTCTTCCTTTGGTCTCCACCGCGCTTGTAAGGCCCGCTAGAGCCTCCTGCAGTCATGATACCCAAGTCACTTCCTGTGGCCGGTTTACTTTGTTGAACATTACCATGCAGTGCCAAATTGAGTATTGGTTTCAAAGACGGCAGACACGCTAGGGGGAGTAAGTATCCGGATGGTTATTAGAACGGGGGTCATGAAATTGACATACCCCAAAGTCAATTGCAAGTACATAGTGCAGCCGGATGAACGACACTGCAGTGACGCTGTGGATGCAAAGTTTGGTATCAGCAGTAGCACGAAAATGAGTGCGCCAGTTCTAGCCACAACTCTAAGATGCAGAACCTACAATATGCCAAGAGTAAAGATTCCCACCAGAGCCATTTTTTGGGGTTTGCGAAGTTGCAAACTCCAAATGCCTGGTACTGGCAGTAGCAGGAGGAGAACGTCGGTAATTATGTTTGGTATTGCGTTCGCGATGAAGAATGTCTTGACGTTGACGCCGCATTCGTAATCAGACGGTGAGAGATTGGCATTCGCGTCGAATCGGAGCCAGAACGCCGACACTGGAAGGCACTGAAAGGTTGATACCAAGAGCTGCAGGCCGTTAGCCAACACAGTATTGACGACCCTGTGATTGCTTTTATCGAGGGGCGGTCTTACCACTGCTATTCCCCAAGCGCAAGTGATACCTAGTAAAACATAGATGGCAAGCCGTGATTCGCGTCGGGCGCTGAAAATTCGCCAGTAAAAAGCGAGTATTGCCGCCTTGACGAGCACAATGCTGATCGTGTACAGATACTCGGCGATGAAAAGACCCGTAAAGTAGACCCTCAAGCCGTTTGGCGTAGCCCAAACATGTTTTCCAAAGCCGCCATTTATGGTCACTGCGTTCCTGTTAGTCAAAAACTCCAGGGTAATCCGTCTGACATCCCGGTGTCGAAAGTGTGACTGACTATAGCACGTAACGTCAAACATAAAAGCTGCTGAAAATATCTGGTAGGAAAGGCTTGTTAGTCCTTGGCCATATTGACGATCGTGACAAGTCACAGCGAGTTTCCAGGAGATGGATGAAATCCTACCAAAGACACAATTATGATCCAGTCATCCCACCAAATTTGGTTTCCCACAAGCTTCCGCGCTGTAACGCGCAGCGCAACGGTGGCTGCTCCAAGAACCCATGTGATGACGAACCCAGACACCAGCGACGAGACCTTGGTTTCGGTGAGGTCGAGTCCATCGGGCGGCTCTGAGAGCGACATCCCTGGCTTGACCCTCCTGCTCGGAAAATAACGAAAAAACGTGTTTTCTTGGAGCACGGATTTAGGGGATATCCAAGCGCGGAGGTGTATATATGGACATTGGCGCCTGGCTACATGCTTTGATCGTGCCCCTGGAAGATCGCGAGTCATACACGACGATTGCCGATTTTTGGCTGGAAACGGCACCACTTGTTCAGAGCCGAGTGCAACACTATGTCGCGCTTATGCTATTTTTTAGGTAGAACTCCCCGACATCCGGGGTACAAGCTTCCATTTGTCAAGGGTGGTTTGAGTGGGATCGAACCCGTCTCCTGGGAGGGTGACTTCGGCGTAACAGTTCAATCACAGTTCTCGTCTCAGCGTCGTTAGCGATCAGCCCAACTCCACTTGTGTCGTCGCTCGTACCTTGCTGGAGTCGTTCGGAAGGACTTTTGTTACCCCGACTGCCAGTAGCCTAGGTATTACAGATCCGATATGAATTACGGCAATGATCAATCAATCCTCCGAAGTACAAGTTCCTGTAGTCAGCATCCGGGTCCTAAAGTGAAAGCTGCAAAGGACCATCGCTGGCCGATTCTTTTGTGAATCCTGCTTATATTATGCTAATTTTTGCCTACCTTGTTGTGACGTTAACCTGATCAGTTGAAAAGGAGTTACCATGTGAAATCCATACACGTTAATCCCTGTTTGTCTCTGAGTTAACAAGAGCTCAGCCTGTAAAGCAGAGCAATTACAGCTCTTAATGCTACTGAGTCCAGACTGTTTAACGTTCAAGTCTGAAATGTGCCATCTTCAGCTGCGCTGCTATTGGAGCTAACCAGGCGGTGCTCACAAGGCTTTGTCTTCGAGTCGACGTTCTGAAAATCGTGACTAACCAGCATCTATGGCACCTCCGTCATCAGTTTACTTCTCATTTGGACCAGGTGGGGGAATGGGCAGAGAACTGGTGTTGCACCATCGAATTTACAGTGAATAACAGGTTCAGCGTCCACTTTCTGTGACTTCAATGTGTTTTAGTGTTGATATTTGCTGGCCGATCATGGCGCAACGCCGCGAGTATCTATCTGGAAGCTGAGATGTACCTTGACGTGCTCTAGAAATGGATCATAGAGTCTGACTAACTCTGCCTGTTCAACTATGACCTCTTTAATCCCCCAGATATTCTTGTACTCTTCGGCATATCATTTTGCCTTAACAGCTGCAGCCACACTTAGGGCACAAATTCTTGGACCATCCGCAAGGATCCCCCATACCGCAATCAGAACCCGCAACACATGTCTTCCAGGGGCCCGAGCCGTCGCCGAGCGCTGTCCAGCACCACCAACCAGCACCATTCTCGCCACACTGCTTCCAGCAGTATCCTTTATCGCAACCCTTCTGGTTTTTGGCACAGGCCAGAGTGCCAACTCCACCAGCATTGGAGCCGGGTCGGCCAAGACTTGGGTGATCGGAACAAAGTCGAACGAGAGCCGGGTCCGAGCCTTCGGGCAGCTCGAAAACACCCAGAGAGCCGCAGATGGCAGCAGCATCCGCGCCGGACTCGAGGTCGGCCCAAGTCATGTTGGCAGCGGCGGACCGCACAGCCAGGTCGACACCATCGCGGGCAGAGAGACTTTGCGACTGTGAGACGCCGGCAACACCAGCCTCGACAGTGAGGAAGGCTCCAAGGGAGACAAGAGCAGAAAGTTGGAACTTCATTGTGTTGAGTATAAGTTGGTGTTATGAGACCAAAGTTTGAACAATTTTTGAGTTGTGTTGTGGCCGTTTTGGTGTCTTCTGATCAGATTACGGAGGCTTCTGAGCTGATCTGCTTTGCGGATGTTTGCAAAAAAGGGGATGACCCTACGCCCTCTTTATAGTCGAGTTATCAACAACCTGTGTCGCCGCTGCACCACGAAGAAGGCATTGCATCACGTGCCCCTAAAGAATCCTCGTTCATTACGTCGCTTAACGACCTGCAGCTTGTCTTACACCAAGACCTCAAAGGATCGTTATTGCTCCCCAACATCCCCAGATCTTCAAGGATCGACCCGAGCCGCTTTCGCCCGGGTAGTGTGGCATGACAGGGGCTTCGAGATGCAGGTACAGGGGGGTCTTTCGTGCAATCGTGGAAAGGCGGACTCAAATTAGTACCAGGGTCTTTCACGAAAAACGAATGATCGGCCTACACTGCTCTCATGATGCATACTGCCTACTGACAATGGCAGAAGGAAATATAGCGCCTCTGCCCGCTCTCTTGTCCCTCCCGCTCTTCCATTCTTTTAAGTAAAAGAAGATAAATCTGTTCTCACTGCTCGAACATCGCAGGCCACTGAGATGTCCGGTAGTATCTTCACCAGTATGGGCTCATAGTTGAATGCTTTGGCTACTACTAGCTAGCGACAGCTCAGATACCTATGTGGAGACAATGCATCTTTACCCAAGCGCCCGAATAAGTGGGGAGAAGGTACAGCGCGGTCAATCGGAACCATAAACTTTCTACAACATCTCCAGAGTAAATACGAGCTGACTGCATTTCGATCGTCGGTCTATGCTGCTTTGCCGGACGCGTGCATTAGAAGAGTTACAATTTGATTCATAATAAACTGGGCTTTACTTGGCGCACCAATGGTTTGTTTCTACGGATCTCAAATTCTCACTACTTGATTTGCTTAAGGTCTGGGCAAGAGTCTAAGGAATAGTCTGACTAAAACAACAAGACAATTTGACAAAGATGATAGTCGTTAGACATGCACTTGTCAGCATCCAGTAGCTGGCCATGCGTAAGAGACGTCGGTTAAGAGACATCGGTTCCTCCTTGCGCGATTTTGTCCTCGGCTACAAGCCACCTTCTTAATGCAGCCAGTCTTGGCACATGAACAAAAGCGCCCGGCATTAGCGAGCAATTTCAGACTTCACGAAACATGCAGGAAGAAAAGTGGTCTGTCAAGAGAGTAGACTATCGGGCGTTTAGATGACTGATTAGCACAGAAATTACTCAGTAAGCATCGCATGCTGTTACCCGCTGATATCCCGACTGTTAACTACACACCTCTTGTCGACGCGGCCATATGATATCCTGTTCTTACGGGCGCGGAGTAAGACAAACGGAAATGGCCAATCTTGTCGAATGAGTGGAAGAAAATGTAGATCATTGAGTGGTTTTACTGCGAGTGCTCATTATCTCCATACCTTACTACCAAGCCTGTCCTCTCGCTCTCGCTCTCACTGGCTTTTCTACGAGAAATCGATCGGAATCTCGAATTTTCGAATGAGTATGATCGCGTGAGGTAGCTTTCGGTTGGAAACATGACCTCCTGACGGGAGCGTCAATGACGACAGGGGAAACCTTGAGGCTGCACTCACTCGCTGACATGTTGCTCAGCCGTTTACTATGAAAGAACCTGCGAGGAATAGTCTTTCTACATACCAAGGGAGATCTAGCTCGTACGGAACAGCTCGGAACGTACAACGTGGTCCTTTAGTGAGAATTACTACCAAAGTTCAACGCCTCTGTCAAAAACGCTTCACAGAGTAAGACATGTTTCCTTTTCTTATTTCTTTTCCGATGTCCACGGTAACGGACGCGTGGAGTAACTCCATCTCAAAAGGTTCATGACCAAAACACGTTGTATGGACAATTTTCACGTGCGAGAACATCTCGTTATATGGTTGAGATGGTGTCACCAGGCGCCGGGCAGGTTTCTTGAAAGTAGAGCCCCTTCTTTTCTGATAGCGAACACGAGCGGCCCAATGGCCAGCCAATCCTGAAAAGGTACAATGGATGAAACTGTGACAGATTCCTTCTTACTTCGACCCCAACTTCCATTCACATATTGAATGTGGCTTTGCAAATCCTTCAACTTGGGGGCTGTCAACCCATGCAAAAGACAGTCACGTGGGTCGTGCTTACGCTGTTTACTGCAACAGCAGGTTTGCTACCAGCATTTCGTCAACCCGCCAGGGATCGCTCAAACAAAAACGACATTCGACAGCTCAATTGATATCTTAGCCAACTCGCTGAGCGTCAGAATGATTTGCGACTCCCAGACACAGTCCGCTTTCGTTAGTCGTCTGCCGCGCGAGGTTCGCGATGCTGTCTATTTCCAACTGTGGCGCTCATGCGGTCTTCGCCAGCATATTCTATGGCATGGCGCCGCGGAGGACAAGCACTTCTGTCGATGGTCGTGCACTACGGAGTATCAGGTCAAGGACGAACTACAACGCGACATTGAGAAGATGAGAGAAAAGCTCGGAGTCTCGCTGGGCCAGGAGATAGTGCGAGACCGGCATGACAACGCGCCACGATACTGCAGACGACTGCAATCTCCATGGATGAATCATTGGCTCTGTGGCGAGCGCGCATTCGAAAAGCACGGTGTTTCAGCTATCCGTGGATCCAGCACCACGACAATTGTCTGCTGGAAAACAGAGAGGAAGGTTACGCCCCATCGACCGTGGGCAACCGCATACATTCCTATGCTATTGTCGTGCAAGGTCATGTAAGTGGCGACCCGTTATCATATGACTCCTGACCATACCTGAATACTTACAACTTCAGCTCTACTGAGTGCCTTCAATCCATATACGAATCGACAACGTTCATATTCACCGATCTGGCGACAGTCCAAATGTTCTTTGGCGCCTGCGCCATACACCCAGCGATGAAGACGGCTAAGATGGGGGTAACGCCCCCGGCGCTTTTCAACCATGCCCGAAGCTTGGAACTGTCTCTAAGTCCGGACTTCCCGGCGCTGCTGATGTGTGCTAATTACGACCTCCCTGGTATCCCTCGTCGCCACGACGTTTACGACTTCCATTGGCTGCGGTTCGACAAGTTCAAGAATTTAAAAAACGTTTGCATATGGATTGCAGCGCGATCCCTCACTTGCGGCATTGAAGCTAACAGTAGCTTCTGCGGCATCAAGGAGTTCGACGTCCAGGGGTTGAAGGACATGTTATCCTCATTCAAGACTATCGAATCCGTCACGCTGAGTACACCGCTGAGCCAAAGGATCGGCCCTCAAGAGGGCTATGTGGATATTGGTGCAGCGCCCGGTGTGCGGATTTACAAACGGGGCTCGGGAGACAAGTTTCATCCATTTCTGACATTGATAGAGCTGGATTGCGTATTCGATGGACTCATTCATACCCACCCCACACAGTAAGTGTTTCCCTTCCTCTTCCCAATCCCATGTACGTACTAATGAGGAATGTTTTAGGGAAGTTCAACTTGCACGCAGAGATGGCACTTATGAAGTCATGAAGGATGTATGATCGTGGCTGCACTGTAGCTTCCTGAGGGCAAACGGCAGCTTGATTGATTCGTTGCGCAGAGAAGCGCCGAACCGAACCAGGTTGTCTGGATAAAGACCCAGAAGACGCTTAATTTAGTCAAGCAAACAAAGCTAGGATAGTTGCATCCATCAACAGACAATCCATAGATGCAGAATAAGCGCAGTTGAGCAAGACTGTTTTACCGGCCTCGGGAATATCGCTTGAATGTAGCGGGAGCAACTATGGACTATGTTATTTCATGCCGCATTTCTAAATAGACTTCAAAAACGTACCCTTGGGGGTCTTGAAGAAATTGTGACCTTGGAGCCTGTAAGGCCGGCGCTTAACAGACATTGAAGTTGCGCGGAGGAGAATAGGACATCTCCCTCAGACTCCGATTCAATACGCGCTCGGCTACCCACGCACCAAAAATCAATTCTAAAGAGCAGGAGACATGCTGACCATTTTCCAGGCTGCCACTGAACGGGGCTGGTTGGCAGTTGTGACGGCTGGAGCTCTTGGCAATTAAAATTGGTAAGCTGACACTCAATTAGACATGGGGACCAGCTGCGTCTGAGTCTACCTCGGGCAGGCCTCCAATGCAATTGGCCAGGCTTTATCCGTGCCGCCTTCAGGAAGATGCGAACCCCTGGATAAGTGCGATCCTATTTTGGATTGCGGCGCGCAAAGCATTCAGGATGCTGCTGCTACAGGGCGCAGTTCCTGGGCAACAACAAAAAGAGACATATTCTTGATCAGTGGGTTATTCAACTGCATCTGCGCTTCTAGAGGGAACCTATTCGGCCAAGATCTTACATCCCCACGAGGCCAAGGTACCATCAACTTGATGCGTTCCTCTAGGCTTCGGGCGATAATTGAAAAGCAAGGATGAAGACCCGCTCGTGAACAAAATTAGAATATGGGAATAGTTCGAGGTGGCTCAACTTCATTGCGGTCTATCATGACCTAGCATGATCTGTTAACATATGGATATATAAAGGCAACTCTGGATGGCTGTCTTTGGACACTCTCACTAAAACCAAAAGCTATCGTATTGAAACCATTCATCATTTCTCACTTCTTCCTTTGTTCGGGGTTCTGTAGTGTGTCATTGCGAAAGGATGAGGGCATTCGCGTATTTGCCATTATTCGGCAGTCTGCTTGTTGCCACCACCAGCGCTCTCCAGACATCCGAAATATCTCGCAGAGATGAGAAATTGGACCAGTTTTACAAAGCCATGGCCGAGGACGGCACATGCGTCATCTACATTGACAATACCGTCAAGAACGACGGCCTGACCCCTTGTAGGACCTTTTGCAAGGAAAAGGGCCAGCCAGAAGACAGGGTCGGGGTGAGTGATCTCCCCTCAAGGTTTTAAGGAATGATCTGGCCTTGCGAATGTCGCTAATCATATCAATGAAATATAGTGCCACTCTGACCATATCCCCAACGGAGAAGGGCCGTATCCCCGAGACCCTGACGGTTACGAATGGTTCCCGGGTGACTGCTTCTGTGCCGAAGAGATTGACCCAGTCGCCGAGGCGTTCATCACTCCAGTCATCGAGGGCCTGGCCAAGCTCGACGAGATCATCTGCGGTGTCTTTGTTCAAGCCGTCGTCGAGAGCATCAACATCGGTTTCGCCCTCGTCCCAGGCGCCGGCCAGGCCGCAACCTCAGCACGGGCAGCGACGAAGGCGGCCGTCGAGGGCGCCAAGTCGTTCGCGGAGAACTCGCTGAACCCGACCGACTTCTTCGACGGATGGGTCAAGACGAGCTGCGGCATCGACAAGATCGAGCTCGACTACGACAGCACCTTCAACTCGCTGGTCAACGCGCCCGACTCAGTCGGAACCAGCACGGGTTGCAAGCGGAAGAAGAAGGGCGACTGTAAGACGCTCGATTCCAAGCCGGACCCGAAGACAACCGAGAAGGACGATGCGCCGAAGACTACGAAGAAGGAAGAGCCTCCAACTACGAAGGATGCCGGTCCGACAACAACCGCTGGGCCAGATGGAGGCCTTACGACCAGCGACAAGCCGCAAGCTACAACGACCAGCACCAGCAGTGCGAACCCCAGCGAGACGGCGGTTACCTGCGAGTCGTGCCGCTCGTCGAAGGCGAAGAACGCAGCGCGCAACGCCCGATGGGGATCCATGTTTGTGCCGCGGGCGGCTGGCGACTCTTGCATCCTGGACAGCCCCAAGAGTGAGAGTGGCTGCACCGCCTCCGGCCTCCAGGCCCGTGACGGCCTTTTATCGAAGAGGGCGTTGACCAAGGACGATCCGAAGGTTAATGTTGCTGGCATGACATTCTTTATTGATTGTGGCAAACATAAGCCGTGTGCGGACGCGATGACGGATAGTAATATTGACAAGTACTATTACCTCGAGGGCGATGCTAAATGTGGCGGAGATCTGAAGTTTGGTACTAAGAAAGACGTCGGCGACACGAAGAAATTCCAGAGTATATTTTGCCCCCTCTTGTAGTTCTTCGGTTTCGTGTTGGTGTGTAGCTAACATTTAAGCTTAGACGACCACGTGTACGAAAAGCAGACGCTAGCCAAGTTCTTCGAGTGGCTCGGAGACGGAGACTTGACTCCTATCGGTATGTCCACGAAGCCACAGTCTTCCTGGGTCGCAGAAGTCCTCTTGGATGAGAACAACCCTCGAAACCACAAGCTGCAATCACGTAATACACCCCTCGGCATCCCGGCGGGAGGGGCGCCGCTTGATGATGTCCTTGCCTACGCCATTGCACGATCCGATCCCCTATCTGAGCGTAATGGGGGCATGCCGCTGGGCCAGACGACGAAGAACTTCGCTCTCGTAGAGGCAGACGTCAACGAACACAAGGGGACCTTTTTCGGGGAAGGCCAGCCGACTGGTCTCACAAGTAGCCATCCGAGCGCGGCTAACCTGAACAGAAACTGGATCAGAAGTGTAAGTGATACTGCCTTAACCAGATATGAGTAAATATTGACTTCACGTGTGTCTTTCAGCATGCCGGCGTTTTCCACTACCTCAGATACGCTCATACCCAACCCAGCACCAAGGAGAACATCTGGAACAAGTGGATGCGTGTTTCCAACTGGATAGACTTGGTCCTTAACGAGTTCGACCAGACCTACACCTGGGGATCACAGCCTGATGAGCCAACCCGCACTGGCGGTGGCAACCCATCGCTGCGGTCCTTCTACGCCTACTGGATCGACACGTATCTCGGCGGCATCGAAGGGAGAGCACAGATCTGGGCCGTCGAAGCCCAGACAGAGTTCAAGCTTAAGTATGGCAGCGACAATACCAACGCTGCAAAGCAGTGGGTGGATAAGGCCTTCGGAACCAATGGCTTCGCGACACGAGCGAAGATGGAGTTTCCCCGGCAGCCTGCTGGGGCTGCATCTCCGTACGGGGCCTACGGAAACGCCGCCATGACCTTGGACAGGGACGGTAACACGGTGCCGAACATTGGCGCCCCGGCGTTGCTGTGATACAGGTGCTCGTGGTTTAATGGATAGAAGTATAGAGGGATAGGCGGTGCTTTTTTTTCGATTTTGTCTTTTGGCAATGGGCGGCGTTGTGCTCCTTCAGCTGGCATATGAATTTTGAATACGATCTGGTGTTTGTTCCCGTAATACATGTTTTTTGGTTCCCATCAATGTTATTGTCCCTCAGCTATGCCCCCTCATGTTGCTCGACTTGCTGGATGGTCCCTCCAGCCTCGGCCTCTCGTCGCCACTTCTCCAAGTCGCTGTACATTCTCCCGTTCTCAACGTATGAATCGTAGAAATACTCGACGAAGCTCATGTAACTCCACAGCCTATCACCCAAACACTTGCCCGTGTATCGCGCAATATCATAATCGGGACCCCCAAGCCCCTCGGCCGCGACCTCAGGCCTCATACCGAAAGACACGGTAAGAAAAGCGCCACCCCCCGGCTCTGCTGCGCCAGGGTTGTCAATGATGATGATTTGGTATTCCCACAACTCGCTGAAGTTCGGAGGAATGCAGAAGTCGGCCGTGCCGGAGGCGTTTCGCTTAGCGACCTCGGCGCGATGGTGCGCAGCGCATCGCGCCACGCGATCTGCTTCAGGCAAGTCGGCGGGGAGCGGGAAGCCGTGAATTTCGATGCGATTCGGCGCTCCGCGTCTGTCGCGGTCCCGGCGCGTCTTTTCCTCGATTTTCTTTGCTATTCCTTTGATGTACTCGCGGTCGCCGGCCGCGGGCGTGGTCTCGTAGATCTGGATGGACCACTTAGGTCGATTGGAAGCGTCTGGCGGCGTCTGGGTATCGGGGTCCGTTTCTATCATTTCCCACGCCGCGTAGCAGGGCTTGCCGTCATGGCTTGGGGCCTCTTCCACGATGGTGCGGGGGTAAACTCTTTTGCCCATGATGCTTTTGTGCAAAAATAAATGCTCAGTGCTTGGGTGAGGCAATGCGAGAAGAAGGTGATCGAGAAAATCAGGATGTCGCTCGCTTATGTGCTTTGGCAGAAGAGCGTAAGGGACACTGTGTAAGCTGACTAAAGCTTGCGAGATCGACGGTCTAGGTTGGTTGAATGAATGGGTTGACTGAATGATAATTGTGTGGGTAGAACTAGATGCTGGGTTGATGATGTAGATGTATGAATAGAGCCAGGGAGAAAGGATGGTGAGAATGTTCAGGGTACTGGTGACTTTTTATTTTGCTCATCGCCATTGGATTACTATTTTTGGTTCTTTGTATCTTGTACACTCCGTTGCGTTAACAGCGTCCGCCCCCCCTTTTTGCTGAAATTACGCACGCATAATCCCTGTATATATATAAAAATTTGCCTAACGCTATATAGATATTTATAGTATAGTAATTAACTTATTCTAATAGCTTTAATTAATCTATTTCTATTAAATCTTATTATCTAAGGGTATTATAATACCTCTTAAATACTACTATATAGCTTAGTAAGCGGATAATAACCCTTCTAAGTATTATCTGTTACCTATTACTAATAG